TGGGCTGGGGAGAAAATGGGGCTGAGGCTCTCTAAGGGTGGTGGAGCTCCTACCTCCCGGGGGGCATCTGAGCAAAGAGGACAGGCCCACTCTCCGCCTCCTCACAGCCACCAACCTGTGCTTTGCGGAGCGGAACGTGTACACATCAGAGGTGCTGGCCGTGGTGATGCAGCAGCTGATGGAGCAGAGTCCCCTGCCCATGCTGCTCATGAGGACCGTCATCCAGTCCCTGACCATGTACCCCCGCCTGGGGGGCTTCGTCATGAACATCCTGTCCCGCCTCATCATGAAACAGGTAACCCGCCCCCGACCATCCAGTTCCCCAGGCAGTGGACTGACTGCAACAGGACACTGAAGATAGATTTGAGGCCGAACCATAGGCTTTTCCAGCCTGCCTGCCTCCCACCCCCTAGGGAGCCATGATGAGGAGAGCAAGCACCACCCAGACTGGCCAGCCCCTTTGCCCTGCTGGCAGAGACAAAACAGGGCTCCAGGGGTTGTAACTCAGCCACAGGGTGGCCACATGATAAGTGAGGGTGGTTAGGTGGTAGGAACAGGCAGGAGACTTCAGGGGTGCACATCCCAGAAGAGGCTTGGCTGCCCCTTGCCCCCCACCACTGTGCACCAGGCAGGATGTATCCTAGAGCTGAAAGGTGGTCCAGTTTTCAGGAGAAGCTAGAAATCTGGGTTTTTAGGATATTCCTAAAAATGATGAAACAAAAAACAAACCTCCACAAGCCCTCAGACTGGATTCAGCCCATAGGTTGCCACTTTGCAACATCTGGCTTAGAGGTTAAATGCAGAATCACACAGACCTGGGGTCAAATGTTGGTTCTGCCCCTAGTTACCATGTGACCTTGGACAAGTCCCTGCATCTCCCTGTGCCTCCTCTGTTTAGCAGGGCAAATGGGGCCCCCTGGAGGCTGCTGTGAGAATGAAATGAGACAAGGCACTTCTCACAACACTTAGCCTGGGGGAGACCAAGGTGAGAGGGCCACTCTCAGTTTTCTTCTCCCCAAGTTGGCCTCATGTCCTAGCTGTTTGGGATCTGGAAGAGAAAGTTAGAAGATCCTCTGTAAGGAGGTCAGGGCTGTGTGTAGCCTAGAGGAGTCTTGTGATGGTAGGAATTTTGGCCCCAGCAAGGTGCCATCTTGGCAAGGTCCTCCTAGTTTCCAGGGTGGCTGCCTGCGTGTCCTGTATGCCCACTCCCTCCCTGCCTCACCCAGGTGTGGAAGTACCCCAAGGTGTGGGAGGGCTTCATCAAGTGCTGTCAACGCACGAAGCCCCAGAGCTTCCAGGTCATCCTGCAGCTGCCACCCCAGCAACTGGGTGCTGTGTTTGACAAGTGCCCAGAGCTCCGGGAGCCCCTGCTGGCCCATGTCCGCTCCTTCACTCCCCATCAGGTACCCCAAGGTGTGGGGTGGTTGGCCCCGTGGGTCCAGCCCTGGGGAACTGGATGGGGGTGGGTAGAGGGGAGCCCTGCAGTGCCACAGAATGTCAGGGATTCTGGAGGGTCAGGGACCTGGGGTGCCCAGGAGGGGTCTCTGGGTTAGAGCTCTCCATAGAACCCCCATCCTGCTCTTCCCACAGCAAGCACACATCCCCAACTCCATCATGACCATCCTGGAAGCCAGTGGCAAACAGGAGCCTGAGGCCAAGGAAACTCCTGCAGGGCCTCTGGAAGAGGTGAGGGTCTGCAGCCCCCATCCTTTCCCCAGCCCAGCCACTTCTCTCTCTTCGGGAGGCTCCTGCTGAAAGGGAGGTGGGGTGTGGGGCAGTTGCCCCTTACTCCCCATGCCCACCCTGTTGTCTGCCTCAGGGTGGCTTGGCTTCTTTCCCACCACCCCCTGGGAGCAGCCTGGGTCCCAGCCCCCACTCACCCCTGAGCTTCTGTGTGGTCCTTCCCACCCCCAG